TCCCTTGCCCCCACACCCCACCCCACCCCACCCCACACACAAAAACTCACCCGATTGAAATATTCTCTTGAACTTGCTCTAGCCTCCTCCATCGAGTCCTTGTTCTCTTTAGTTGTTGTTAGTTGGATGTCAGCATCCCTCTTTCTCCAAAATATATAGTCTTCTGATTTGGTTATCGAACCTGCTGATATTTCAACAGAAATGTTGGAGAAAGCCATCTTTTAGCCCATTTAGCGTCCCTTAGTTTCCTTTTCTCTCCATCCATTTTATGACGTTTTTACTTTGTTTCCTAATGCTACCCATGATTTTTGTAATATGGAGGTTGTTGATGATTCAAGGTTTATTTAGTCTCAAGATTTTATTAGAAATCTTTGATTAGCAAATAAAATATTATAGTTTGTGTTTTCTCTCCAGGAGCAAATATGATTTTTTATTCATTCTCCTAGGTTTACTGTATTTCAAGTTAGACACAATAACTCTCTTAATGAATGACGACTTAGTTGGTACCTGAATGCAGGTCTGCTGGTCTCTTTGCGGATATTACTTTTGCATGATATTTAATTTGTTGTATTTTCTCTCATTGCTTTTTTAAGGTAACTCTTTTCAGTTGCTTTTTAATATAGTCCTTTTCTCTAACTAGCATGATAATTTTGTTTGTGATCATATGAAACTCTCCCTTACACATGCAAGCCCTTAGTCACCACTCTCTCCTCCATTTTCAATCACTCACCAAAATTTCCATTTATCCTCATGTTAATAAATAAAAAACACAGCCTTTCCTAGAATATACACACAATATCCTAATGCTAACCATCTAAAGAAGTATAATTTTGACAACCTTGTGTAAATGCTCCTCATTATTTATCCCATATCTACTTGAGTTTTATTATTGTTACTAGTTGGTCCAACATTCTTTACATTAGTATTGTTAATAGAAGTTTGTCATTAGTATTGGATAAGTTAGAGGCTTAGCTTTTTAAGCCTAGAGATCGAAGTGGTGCAAGGATTGTGTTAAATTTCTACTCCAATCATAGCAAAGAATTTTAGGCACACGGATAAGGACTTTGTACCGTTAGATATGTCTCTTTGTGATCTTTGGATTGTAATTCACGTGCTTTCCTAAAGTATCGTCGGACCCACCCTATCTAATTTTCCCTTTTTGTTTTTATTCGTATTTGTCATGCCTATTGGAGATGTATATATGTCTCCTCCCTTGTACAAAGTAAAGGGAAGACTTTTGAGAATTTTTTTAATTATTTTATTTTCTATATGGTATCAAAGATAGCTTGGGGTGTTCCTTCCGGCCTTTGTTCTCATTCTCTAAAATTAGAGTTTCCACATCCAACCTTTACATGCATGCCACTCAAATCTTTAACATCACATAAAAAATACTACTATCACTATGTACCTCTGTAGCCCGAAGTCCCAAAGTTGTTACTTTAGGAAGAAATTGATTCAAACAAATTGATTCAATGATTATGACATGGCTGCGGAACATCACGTTACCGGAATGATTTTTATGTTTCTCTTATAACATAAATATGTTATGACCTATTGAAAGAAACCAAGATGATAGAATGCAAGTCGTGTGAAACTTTAACTGAACCAGGATGAAAATTGAACTTTGATGAAATAATTGATGTACATATGAGACAATATCGAAAGAAATCAACTAGTTAACATATTCACCAAAGGATTCTGCTACCTAGCCATTAAAAATATCATAAGCAAACCTGGAATGGTAGATTCTACCATCTAGTTTGACAGGGAGTGTTTAAGTTTCTGCTTCAACCATAGCAAAGAATTTAAGGCACACTGATCAATACTTTGTATCATTAAATCTATCTCTCTATCACCCTCAAATTGTAATCTATGCGCTTTCCTAAAAGATTGACGCCTGCTATTTATGGGAGATGTGTATATATCTCACCTCTTGTACAAAACAAAGGGAAGGGAAGGCCTTTGAGATTTTTTTTTTTTTTTTTTTTTTTTTTCTACTTATTGCTCCCCTGTTTTTGTATTTTGTAGGACAATGATAAATCTTTTTAAAATTAAAGACCAGAAAAGGGAAGTTGCAGGAAGTGCTAATGGAAGGATTCTTGTAAAGAAGCAAAGTGCGGCTGAACTGCGTATAAGCTGTTGTTTTTTTTTTTTTTTTTTTTTTTTTGTGTGTGTGTGTGTGTAGAGGAGGGGGCATTTACATACATTATATATTATTTACATATCCAACACCTAAATATTCATATTTACATGCATGCCACTCAAATCTTTAACATCACATAAAAAATACCACTATCACTATCTTTTTAAAAGTGAAATACATCTTTTGAAGCATAAGTTTATGACACTAATATGTTATAAGTGTAGGTATCAAGCTTTGGGTGTTAGATATGTAAATACAGAAGAATTGGTGGTATGTATGTAAATATTCCTTTTTTTCCCCCTTTGAAGTATCCTTCAGTTTGCCTGTAACTTAGGTGTCTTATCACTTGTTACTGGAAAAAGGTTAAAAGGTAGATAAACTGTGCTTATTTGACACGCCTCATTGTTTATGCTGGACGGAATCATCCTTCATCTTTTATTTTATTATTATTATTTATTTAGGCATTAAGAACCCAAAAGTAGAACCTATTTTTTCTAAGGAAAAAACTTAAACCTACATTATCAACAGCCACAGTACATGACAAGCCATGTTGAATCACTATGGTAAAACTTGTAAAATCTTTTAGGAATAGTTTTACTTTTCTTAACATCCTCAGCACAGAATAAGCTCTCTTCACCATCGCCATGTTGATTGATGATAAATTTTTCTATTTCTTGAAATTTTATGGTTGATGGTCATGCAGGCGACTGTGGTTGGATGTAACCAACCATGTTTAGCCCACGTGCTTAGGGGCTGTTTAGAATCACTTTTTGCTTTTTATTCTTTAACTTTTTTTAAATTATTTATGTTCTAATTTGAAACAACACATGTTTGACATATTCAAATAAGATTATGATTGTTTTTAAAACCGCTCAAAACACCTAAAGGTTGTTTCTAAGTGTTTTTAAAAACATGAAAATTTATTTTTGGAAATAAAACATAAAACCCGAAAAAAATATGCTAAACAAACAAATTTTTAAGATTAAAACAAAAAAAAAAAAAAAAATTGATCCCAAAGAAGCCTCGAGTTTTTTCTATTTTTGTTGTGAGAATTTTCTAAAAGCTATTTTCTCATTCATTTTTCTAATTTTCTTTCCTTAAGAACTGTTTTTCTACGAACAATCACTACTTTTTGCTGGCTATTTTTACTACCACGAAAGCAATAAAAACCTTTTCCAAAGAAACCTTAGTTTCTAGCTTGAAATCTGCTTCACGAACAGGTTGAGCTTCTTAAGACTTCTATAGGATATTAAGCTGATCTTTATTTACAGTTTATTTTAGTTTGTTTTGTGCTTAAAATTTCTATTTGCCAGACTCAAACTTTATATGATTCCTTCTATTTATTTTATTTTGCAGACATCACAGAATTGAATCTGCCTAAAACCACTACCATTTCATTTCCTAATGGAAAGGATGATCTGATGAACTTTGAGACTACCATTCAGCCAGATGAAGGATATTATCTGTAAATTGTACTTGTGTAACTTAATTAGGAAAAAAAATCACATTCTATTTAAAATTTTTTTAAGGCTTCTTTTTTTAGATATTTACAAGCATAACTTTGAATTATTATTATTTTTTGATTTACAAACTCAGCACTCTCGAGTCATTTTCTTAGACTGCTGATGTATTTAGGCGTGCCATAAAATTGACCGTTGGGAATTGAGCAAAGTTGAAAATTAGTGGCTGAGATTTTGTTTTAATTTTGATATGTGGGTGAGGATATGATGATGGATAGAGAAGATGTTAATTTTTAAAGGGGCATTTACATACATACCGCTCAATTCTTATGTATTTACATATATAATACCTAAACATGCTTTTTACATTTATACCACCCAAATCTTTTATATCACATAAAAAAACCAGTATTTTAACTTTGAAAAGGTAAAATACACCTTTTTAACGCATAGCTAAAGTGGCATATATATAAAAATTGAAGTTTAGTGTTAGATATGTAATTACATAAGAATTGAGTGTTATGTAGGCAAATCTTCTTTTTGAAGTAGTCCAGAGTTGGATGTTATGTGTGAAATTGTCTTTTATTTTTTCTTTCTTTTTTACATTTAAATTTATTACTGAATAGTTCTTGTCTTTATGATTCCTTTTTTATTTTTGTTATGCAAAACTTAACACTTTGTTCTTCTTAGAGGAGGAATATTTACTTTCACTTACCAAGTTCCCTCCTCATACCCTCACGAACCACCAAAAGTCAAGTGCAAGACAAAGGTATGAAATTTGTTCTTTGTTAGAGTTTATTTTCTTCTCTACGGTTTTTTTCTTCTGTTAGATATATATTTAGGAAGATTTACATACATAACGCTCAATTCCTATATTTACATATCTTACAACAAATCTTCAATTTTTATATACATGCCACCTTATCCATGCATGAAAAGTGAAAAGTTGTATTTCTCTTTTTAAAAGTTAAAATGGTGATATTTTTTGTGTTACGAAAGATTTTGGTGGCATAGATGTAAAAATCAAAATTTAGGTGTTAGATATATAAATTCATATAAATTGAGTGGTATGTATGTAAATGACTCAATTTTTTGTTTCTGTACTCTGTTTTTTGATATATAATGTAGGTGTATCATCCTAATATTGACTTGGAGGGAAATGTCTGCCTTAATATTCTGCGTGAGGACTGGAAGCCTGTTCTCAACATAAACACCATTATATATGGATTGAATCATCTTTTCACGGTACTCCTCTTCCAGAGAAACTCTGATGTCCATTGATTTTTGGCGCATTAAGATACATACCCCCCAATTTTTATGCATTACATATCTAACACCTGAACTTCAATATTTATATTCATAACTCGCCATCTTTAACATCACATCAAAGACACCACTTTACTAATTTCCTAAGTCAAATGCACTCTTTCGTGCTAGCAACAATAACATGTCATAAATGTAAATATCAAATTTTAGGTGTCAGATATGTAAATTTTTAAGTATTGTGTGGTATGTATGTAAATTTTCCTTGTTTTTTTAGTGCTTTCCTTTCAGAAACAACTAGAATTTATTTTCAGCATGTTTCTTTCCAAAACGAAATGAAGTCCATTTAATTGAACTGTGACAAAAGCTAATAATGGCGATCAGTACTGAGAATGATGATCAGTTTCCAAATATTTGATTTCTGTACTGAGTCTGCTGCCGTCTGAAAAATAACCAAGTCATCTATTAATAATGAACAGTTTTAGAAACAAAAGGGCCGTTTGAAATCACTTTTATTTGCTGTTTTTTTTTAATGTTATGTTTTTTGAAAATATATTTGGTTTGTATAATTATGTTTTTATTTATTTATTTTAAAAAACAAATTAACTTTTTCTGAGTGCTTTTAAAAACAAATTTTGTCAAATAAACATGTTTTAATTTAAATCAAAAGTAATCAAAATAAAAAATAAAAATAAAAATAATAAAAAAAAAGATTTCAAACAGCCTCAAAATTATATGTTTGCATTGTAATTGTACCTAAGAATAGAAATGAAGTTCAGGCCGTTAGTTATGATTCGACAGCCATTGTATTTAGATTCAACTCTTTCCTTTTCATTTCTCTTAAATTGGCTTTTGGAGTTTGTGATGAGTATCTTTGCTCAAATGAATATAAAATAAAGATTCCTAAAGTAAACCTTCAAGTAGTTGGATTATAGCTAATGATGGATGATGTTATATATCATCCTTAGTTCTTTATTCCCTTGAAGAGTTTGATGGTGACGTCTAAAGCCTATCAAGAATAGTAGTATAAACATGTTGAGTTTAGTCAACCTTGAGCCACAATTGTCTTGAGCTTGACCAACTAATTTAGTTTGAGCTCAATTCTTAGTGTTCAAGTTGACTTATTATGAAATAAAAAAGATGATTCTAATCCAAGCAGCTATTATACTTGTTACATCACCAAAAAAATTATATGATCAAGCATGAATCTTGATACATTTTTTATCGGAGATCTTCCAATTTAAATTCAATATCATTTGACTTCGGTTTCATGATATTTATAATCAAACTGAGTGTCTCAGCAAGACGAACCTGACGACTCTAAGATCTGTTCAATAGCGGTTCAATCATGCCAGATCAAGTCGTTGAAGCACAATTGCATGTTTTAGATTGTCATTTAAATGATTAAATGAACTCCAAATTTGACATATTTATTGTCGAATCTAGCGTCTCAGCGAGAAGAATTCAACGAGTCAAAGATCACTCAATTTTGAAGTCATTAAGACATTCAAATTCTTAACTAATCACTTATAATAAAGGAGGATCAATATGAACCATCTGATCAGGTGGTTAGAGAAATTATGCATGAAAAGTCAAAAATGCCCCTCTACAAAAAGTTATAAATAGACCCCTCTTTTCCGGGAGAAGTAAAATTAAATGGCCTATTCTGGAGAGAAAGCCCTATGAGTAACCATTGGTATCTGTATCTGCCAGTCGCCGACCACTGCAACCATTGTAGCCAGATTAATGTTGTTTTTGAATTTCCTGACACTTGGTATTTTTTGAGCTATATAAAAATAAGTGGAGTTTTCAGTTTAAGATTGCAACCTCGTTCTCCCTGTTATGAGATAATGACTTATCCATGTACTTACAAACATAGAATGCATTACTTTGATTAGGCCAAACTTTGTCATTTTTTCCCTTTTCAGCGTTTTTCCATATAAAAAATTTTGGCTTCTTATTCCGGTACTTGTCTTTTATCTGTGTGTGTTAGATCTTCGTGCAATAATAAGACATTAAATTATCTCTACAGTGCCATGAATTTTCGGGCATACAACATTACTAAAATGATTATAGTGATTATAATTTCATTGAGAAATAATAACAAAATAGCTGAGATAAGAAAGAAAAATATAATATTTAAGTTGTTATAATAACATCGAGAAATGTGTTAAAAGTCCCATGATTTTTTACAAAGGCCTGTAATTTTTAATTTTGTCTCTCGACTCTTTTAATGAAATAGTCTCTACTCACGACTATTTTGGTCTCCATTTAAAAGAGTTAGTAGACTACTTTGACACTTTACTTTAATAACTTTTAACTCTTTTACATTATCATTTCTTAAACGAGTCAGCTTATAAGAGGATGAGTAGAGTTGGTTTTGGCTCAAGTTTGACTTGTTATTTTGTCATACTCGTCTACCAAGCCATTTTTCAACTCGAGCTCAAGCCGACGCATGAGCCAGCTTGACTCGATGCACCCCTAACAACCCTACATTTTCTTCCACAGCAACCAAATTATGAGGATCCCTTGAATCATGATGCCGCCGCCGTTCTCCGCGACAACCCGAGATTGTTCGAGACCAATGTGAGAAGGGCAATGTCAGGAGGATTTGTGGGTCAAGTCCACTTTCCCAGATGCATTTGATGAAGATCATGTTAAAATCCCAACTTAAAAAAACCTTGGTGTGCTACTACTGGTAATATGAAATTTGGTCCTTAATTTTGCTTATTTTTGTATGGATTTTTTATGAACTACTAAAATTATACAAATCTGCCATTTCCTGGGGTGTAACAAATAAATATAAATAAATGTGCTAGAATTTAGCTCTCTGTATTTATGACTCAAGCCATAATGCATCTTTTATGTCCTGGCATTAAGACATTATTTAAGCTTAGCTTTCCTGCAGTCTGCTTTATTTATGTGGCTTTTGGACGATAAAGTTTTGGGGAATTTACATACCACAATTCTTATGTATTTACCAACCTAACACTGAAACTTTAATATTTACATTAATAGCACCTTGGCATCATAAATCTATGCATAAAAATATGTATTTCACTTCTAAAAAATAATTAGAAGTCATTTTTTCTGATGATATATTAAAGATTTGAGTACCTGCATGTAAATATGAAGAATTAGGTGTTAGATATGTAAATACATAAAAATTGTGGTTATTAATGTAAATGCCCCTAAAGTTTTCCAGTTCTGGCCAAATTGGATTCGATTGCTGGAGTTTGAAAACTTTATGCCATGTTTATCATTCTAGTTGCAGAGGATTTGAGGCCGGAATTGAATTTGGAGAAATTTACATCCATACCACACAAATCCTATTTATTTACATTTCTAACACTGGAAGCTTGATGTTTATGCTTATCATTATTTTGGTATCATAAATTTATGCATTATAAAGAAAAAAATAAATAAATAATAGTGATGTTTTCATATAATATTAAAGATTTGTATATTTGAGTATTATGCAGTTAAATTTTTTTTGTACTTTTATATGATTAGTGAAAGTTTGCACTCATCTCAAAGAAATCAACGACTATAATTTTTTTTAATAAAGTATATATAAGAATTTTTTTCCATTACAAAGAATGCAGCTAAAAAATGAGATGGTATTTAGTTATGTTAATAGCATACGACTTCATATATAAAATGTACTAAATAAATCTTCATCTTTAAATTTTATAAAAAAATTAGTAGTGTTTGAATAGAAAAAGCCATCATACAAATAAAGACATGATCAGAAGTACAATAAGCAACTCGGATAATAAAAATGAAAATTGTGAAAATACGTTGAAACAATTACACACCGACGCATCGAGGGATCCAAGATGAGTCGACGGAGCATCCATGTAGAGGTTGATCATGATCAAATGACCGCTAATGACTGATCTGATTGCAATCAGATGACCATCAAAAGCTGACCACAATCAGATGACCCTTAGAGGTTGATCATGACCAAGCAGTCACCAGAGGTCAACTATTACAAATATGTCACGAAAGACCAACCACCTCACTCGAATAGTCGATAAAAGGAAGATACATACATGTTCTCGATTATATGGTATGAGATATGACCAAAATTAGACAATTGTATGTGCAAGAGAATATTGGTTAGATGTGATATTTTGTGGAAGCCAATACCTATAAATAGGGTAATATAACGAAAAATTTCAAAGATTCTTTCCAAAAAGCTTGAGCAAGATTATATCTGATTTATCTTCATCCAGCTCATCAGTTATTTTATCATTCTCTCTCCCTCTCTCTCCTACTTAACCCATTCTTTATCATTTTTTATGCTCTATTTTTTTGGTATGATTCAATGACAAATCTGGGTTCAACACCCTAAAAAATACTGTGAGCGTGAATCATGCCACAAACAAAATGAGAATTGACTCAAGAAAAAGAACCTAACCACCAAGAATTCATTAGAAATAGGGATTGCACTAGAGACTTCGTGACTAAATAGCTCAACAAACTCAAAGAATAAAATGATGAAAATAATTAAAAGTATGATTGCTCAAGCAACAATGCAACCACTTCAATTTATAGTACCCCCGTGCTAGAGGAAGGAGCATGGCAAAGGAGACCAATTTACCGTGAAGAAGATGACTCACACTGCCTCACCAATGAAGGATCATCCTCTTTAGTTCACAACAAACGAAGGCACATTGACGTCCCATGACCCAATCAATTAGACCCAGGGAGATTTCAAAAGTTGAAGCTCCTAAATGATTTAAAATCTTTTCCTTGGAATCTTATTGAGGATGATCAAATCTTTCTGATTACGTTGCCACCTTTGAATTCATAGTATGCTTGTCAAGAATAAATAATACTTTAAAATGTCAAATTTTTTTCATGACACTTAAAGAAATGTCCCCCTGATGGTTCAACAACTTTTCTTTAGAAGTTAATATATTTTTCACAAAATTTCATAGCATAGTACACCATTGTGTAAAAACCTCTCATAAGTTTGCAAGATTGCTCCAGCTTTACTAGGAGCATGGGGAGTCACTGCATGCATTCGTGACCCATTTCCAGAAAGAAATGTTAGTAGTGTGAGACCTGCATTGTACATGCTGCCCTCACATAGGGATAGAAGGATTGACCATTTCGCAATGCATTGCACTTACATTGACCGAAGATAATGGTTGAGTTGCTAGAACTTGCCACCCATCACATATTGGTGGAGGAATATAACTCATCGTCAATCCACTGTGTTGAATATTTGGAAAGGCCCCATGAGAAGAGAAATTTCTACAAAGGAGAGTGATGCCATATTTTCTTCAATATTTATCATAATTTTATCCTTGTGGAAGGTTTTTGTTGATTTTTTATGAGTTAAAGGTGTTGAGCTTGCATCACAATGTCAAAACACGAAGTCACTAAGTTTTGAGGACTGGGATAGCTACATCGTATGTTGGCTTAATTATGTAGGGTTGACTATTGAGCAGACGTTAGTACGCCAGAGCTTGGTGTAGATATGCCGGGTGCGGCCTAACTTTGTCGACCACGAGCATGGTTATGCTAGTAGTGTGAGACCTACACCATATAATTGTACATGCTGCCCTGACATAGAGATAGAGGAATGACCATGTCAATATGCATTGCACTTACATCGACTGAAGATAATGGTTGAGTTGCTAAAACTTGCCAACCATCACATATAGGTGGAGGAATATAGCTCATCGTCAATCCACTCGAGTGCTAAACATTTGGAAAGGCCCCATTAGAAGAGAAATTTCTACAAAGGAGAGTGATACCATATTTTCATCCATATTTATCATAGTTATATGCTTGTGGAAGGTTTTTGGTGATTTTTTATAGGTTGCCGCTGTTGAGCTTGCATCACAATGTCAAAACATGAAGTCACCAAAAATTTGAGGACTGGGATGGCTACATCGTATGTTGGCTTAATTATGCAGGGTGCACTATTGAGCAAATGTTAGTACGCCAGAACTTGGTGTAGATATCCCGGGTGCGACCTAACTTCGTCGACCACGAGCATGGTTATTAGGGGTGTAAACGAGCCGAACACGAGCGAGCCAAGTTTTGCTCGTGTTCGGCTCGTTTATATTTCGAGCTCAAAAAGTGTGTTCGTGTTCGGCTCGTTAAGCAAATGAGCCGAACACGAGCTGTTCACGAACAACGAGTCCTTTGAACAACCCTAATCATGTCGTCATAAGATAATAAGAGTTTGAACAAGATTTAAAAATTATTATTTATATTAAAACATCATTTGAATCTAATTTAATAATTTTTATTATGTTTTCTTAATCAATATTTTAATTGATTATAAATCTTTGTAGCCTTGTAGTCAATTAGATTTTTTTAAAATACTACTTT